ACCTCTATGGGGTCCGATGTACCATTTACACGGATCACAAGAGCATGAGGTACTTGATGGAACATCCGAATCTGAATATGAGGTAGCGTCAATGGTTGGATGTGGTGAAGGATTATGATTGTGAGATCCTGTACCACCCAGGGAAGGCTAATGTGGTGGCCGATGCTTTCAGGCACAAGGCAGTTGCGACTTCGATCTGAGGTATATGCTTTAGGATGACAGTGATTACCCCATTGTTGGAGCGGATTTGGGAGACACAGATTAAGGCTATGAAGGAAGAGCGCCGTAAGTGTGAGCATATTGTGGGTCAGGTGGCTTCCTTCGATTATGATAGCCAGTATTGACTCTACATCGGAGGGTCAGGGTTTCATATTGGGGCAATGTGCGCCAAGTTCTGATGGAGGAGGCTCACAAGTTGAGATTCTCCATTCATCCCAGGGCGACATAGATGCATAAGGATCTTCACCGTGATTATTGGCAACCCTGCATGAAGCATGATATAGCATGATTTATGGAGCGGTGCTTAACTTGCAAGAAAGTCAAGGCCGAGCATCAGTGACCCCACAACAAGATGCAATCGTTAGAGATTACTGTATGGAAATAGGAATACATCACCATGGATTTTTATCACGAAGCTTCCCAGACTGCACACAAAGTGGATTCTATTTGGGTCATCGTAAATCGATTCAACAAGAGCGCACATTTCATTCCAATCCAGGAGAGTATTTCTACCGAGAAGTTAGCTGAGATTTATGTTCGGGTGGTGGTGGTACGTCATGGGGTGCCGATATTAGTGGTTTTAGAATGGGATGTTTGCTTTACTTCCAGATTTTAGAAGCAGTTTCATGACGAGATGGGTACTCATCTCCATTTTAGTACGACATTTCATCCGCAGACCGATGGTCAAAGTGAGCAGACTATTCAGACTCTTGAGGACATGCTGCGAGCGTGCATGTTTGATTTCGGTGGCAGTTGGGATACATATCTTTCGTTTGCGAAATTTTCGTATAAAAACAGTTATCATGCTAGCATCGATCAACCTCCTTTTAATATGCTCTACGGGAGGAAGTGTAGGACCTCGATTTGTTGGGGTGAGATCGGTCAGTGAGTCATGGGGAGTAGCGAGGTGGTGCTCAAGACCACCGAGCTGATTCAGAAGGTTCGGAGCAGGCTTCAAAAAGCTTAGATTCGGTAGAAGCGCTATGCCGATCGGTACCGATCAGAACTGGAATTCCAGGTGGTAGATATGGTCTCCTAAAGGTGTCATCTGGTTTAGGAAGCGGGGGAAGCTAGGCCCTAGGTATATTGGTCCCTTCAGGGTGTTGGCTCCGGTGGGCCAGGTAGCTTATCGTCTTGATCTTCCAGCCGATCTCAGTCAGATTCATAACACTTTTCATGTCTCTCAGTTGTTTAAGTGTTTAGTAGATGATTCCGTAGTTGTACCTTCGGAGGATATTCAGGTGGATGACTGCCTAAATTACATTGAGAGATCAGTGGAAATTTTAGATCGGAGAATGAAAACCTTGAGGAACAAGGTTGTGGAGCTGGTTAAGGTATAGTGGCTGCACCGCAAGGGGTCTGAGTGGACATGAGAGCCGGAGGAGGGGATGATAGAGCATTACCTTGAGTTTTTCGAGGTAATGGACTTCGAGGACGAAGTATGATCCAAGTGGGGGAGAATTGTAACGCGTGATTTCTAAGGTATTTATTTTATTCGTTAATGGCTTAAATATTTCCGGTTAGCCTAGGAGTCCTTGGGCATTTATTATTTTGGGCTATGGGGGGGGGGATGTACGCTGGGCATACCACCCTACGTACGATGGTCGTACTGCTTGAAGTTGGACGCGAATGCCATGCATGTACACGCTGCGTACTAAGGAGTACGCAACGTACGTGTCCAGACCCAAAATCCTACATTTTAGGGTTTGAGCACTATATAAAGAACATTACGCCTTAAGGACCAGCCTCCCTCTTATATTTAATCAGCCTCCACAAAACCCTAACTCCTATATTGTGTGTTCTTGTGCTTAGAAGGTCCCTTAAGTGCATTCTTGGTGTTTTTGATCCATTTTCAAAGGAAGTGAAGGTTGGAACAAGGTGGTGGTTCAAGGAGAAGTTTGTAGATCTGAGTTGTTTGCTTCGTTTCAAGCATTTGCAAGGTATAAAATCTTGAACTTAATACTTCATTACCTAGATCTTTTTTGGTTAAGTTTTTGGACCCTTTTGGTCCCATTATTGAGATCTTATGAGTCTATTCCGTTTCTAAAGCTTTGAGATGCCACTATTGGTATTATTTGGGTCCTAGAATCATAAAGTTTCCATATTTGAGACCAGAGCCGGCCCAAGCCCAGGGAGACTTGGGCCATGCCCAGGGTAGCAAGTCTTAAAGGGGGCATAAGATTTTAGAGTCCTGTTATGGGTAATATGCTATTTAGGTCAAAACTCTTGTCGCTAAAAACTGACTGTATATTCCACATAAAATGGGGGCAGGATGCCTATATCCGAGACCTAATTAAGCACCAATTGCAAATTCATTCACACTTTTAATTCTTGGTCTCCTAAACATCACGACTAATAACTGAAGCTGAAGAAGACGAGGCGTTTGAGCTTTGAATCAGGGAAGACGACTTGAATCAATTTCTTTTTGAAAATCTGTTAGTTTTCTCCTAAAGTCATTGACATTTCTCACATAAATTGAACCAATAAAGTTTCATAGCGCCGAACTGTTGGAGTTTTCTCCTAAAGTCCCTGGTAAGTTTTTTTTCCTGTAAGTGATTGAAATTTCTCACATAACCAACATGAACAGCTGAAGATTCAAGAATCTGGTAGTCGTTAAAGTTTCTAAAATTTTAGATTTCTAATTTAAGATGAATTGTTGAAGTAAAGTTGATGGTTGATTTAATATTCTTAGACTTGTCATATGATGCAAAAAGAGTCTATGAAGTATAGGTGTATATTCAAGTATGTGCCACCAACCGGAAAACTAATGGTAGTATTAATTATCAAATAAACTCCATTGTCTTTATACACTCCCTTTCTTTAGACTATTATAACGATGGCTCCCATATTTATTTTATATCCTCTTGAATTTTGTATTTCATGTAAAGCTAAAACTAATTAGATGCGCAGTGAACAAATAAAATTAAACATGCTTCATACATTCTAATGTTTCAAGGCTTTTAGTTGAGTGAATACCTTAAAGATCTTTACTTTAACTGTTTTATCATTAAAGCTTCTTTATTTTCTGTTCAGGACATCGAGCATTTTCATTTCTTCGACAAACCAAAGAACAAAACTTCTTATTTCTGGATTAGACTCACAGTTTCCAAATTTGATCAAGAAAACTACTTTTCAAGCATGGTGAATAGCAGCTAAAAAGCCAATAGGTTATTCACATAGCATTAAAGAAAACCCCAAGTTTTGAACAAAAGTATTTCAAGTATTGAAGATTTTTTTGAAGTTCTAATTATAAGATTAAAAATGTATTTTAGTAATTCTTTTTCAACGTGTTTTCTTAATATTCATAGGAATGCTGTTAAATATAATTTTACGTTGAAACAATGAATTAGCATTAGTTGAAATCCAATTGCATCCAATTCATATAAAATGTGTGTAAAGTAGAAGCTCCTCTAATATTTCCCTTATTTCTTATGTTTTATATGGTTTTGATTTAACTACAAGGGCATGAATTAAGCCTTGTCACCCAGGGCATGAAAAACCTATGGACCGGCCTTGTTTGAGACCTTAGATCATCCATGCATGAATATTGGTCATTTTTATGGAAATAGATTGTCATATTTCGAGTTGGGTTCATTTTGGGGCATGCAAGTAACCAAGTTGTCGACTTTAGGGTCTAAGACACTTCATATGATTCATATTTGTAATTGGAACCCTATGTCTTAAAGATTGAAGTACTTTATGGGATTGTGGCTTAATGAGTTGGTACGCTGGGCGTACAAGCTTGTACGCGCAGCGTACGAGCCATGCAGCCTGTACGCTTATCGTACAGTTGAGTACGCCCCGTGTACTCAATGGATTTGGGGCTTTGCATTGTTGGGCGTCGGTTTGGGCCACTTTCATGGACTTTGTGTTTTGGGACTTAGTGGGTCATCTGGAATCGAATCTTTGGGCTAGGAACACATTATTGGGTCTTTGGGCTAAGGCCCATGCAAAGGGGTTGAGCCCAATTGGAAATTGGGCCATATGTTGGGCCTTGTTGGATTGTGTATCTCTTTTAGGCCATTGGATTGTGATTTAGGGTTTCATTCTTGGACCAAGTCATGTTAGGGGTAAAATAGTCTTTTTACCTATGTAGGGATTTTTGGTTAATGATGTAGATCCCAATGTTAATTAACTTTTATTGGTAACTGACAGCTCGAGGAACTGTAAGATCGGCAGCCAAGGATCATTTATTTCATTCAGCTTTTCAAGGTGAATTTCCTCACCGGGTTTAGTGGGTCTAAGGCACCAAGGCAGACCCTTGCTTGACTATGTTGATATACTTGATGTCTGTGTGATGCTAGTATGTGTTTGTATATGTATGATTCATTGGACGGGGCCCATTATGCAAGTGTGGGCGGGGCCCGTATCTCATTGGGTGGAGCCCGTTATGCGAGTGTTGGCGAGGCCCGTTATGTGATATGTCTGGTATGTGGTATCTTGGGGTAACTCACTAAGATGTGTGCTTATAACTTTTAGTTTATGTTTCAGGTACTTCCGATTCCAAAGAGAAGAGCTCAGGTTGACTGCATCGCACACACCATAGAGATTTTGTTTGCGGGACATACTCTGATTTGCATGATGTTTGACACTTTTATTCATTTGGCATGTATAAACAATGTTTGGAATATTGTTTTTACTTAAATCAAAAATGAAATTTTTGGGCCATAATTTTTGGATGTTCCAAAAAGAGAATATGGCGTCTCAATAATGGCAACCGGACGAAGAGATGGTTTTAGCGCAATCATGAGTCGATATTTTGGAGGATTCCAAAAAAGGAAATGTGCAAAAAGAAGACCACTATTGGCGAAGTATAAAGGAGCGTTTTCTTAAGGTCATGAATCGTGGAGAGTACCGCACTAAAGATCAGTGTACTAGCAAGTTTTACAAGATGAAAAAATTTATCACTAAATTTAATGGCATTTACAACAATTTGTTAACGCAACAGAAAAGCGGGGAAGACGATGAACAAATTTTAGAGATGACCCTTAAAAATTTTCTTGTTTATAGTAATAAGTAGTTCAAGTTTCTAAATGTTTAAGGGTTTTTATCCAAGTCCCCGAAATGCATAAAAGAGTATGGTAGCAAAGAAGGTGGTTCAAAAAGAACCAAGTTTCCGAGACGTCTTACACTACTTCATCGGATGCACATTTTGGGGTTGATTTGAACGAAGTTAATGAGCTCGAGCTTAAAGAAGTAGTTCGGTCGATGGGTCGAGATAGGGCAAAAAAAAAGGACCGTAGCCGAATCATCAGGAACGAGAAGAGGAGATGAAGTTTGGAAATTTATAATTTAAATTTTAAGTGGCGTTTGAGTTTTGAAAAGGAGAAGTTGGAGGAGAAAAAACGATCAATAGAGGAAAAGCAACGAGCTCGAGAGGAGAAGCAAAAAATTCGGGATATAGAATTTTTAAGAAAACCTTATGATCACCTAATCGGAGATGAGCTCGATATGGTTTTGAGGGCTAGAGCGGACATCATGAAAAAAATATTACAAGTAGTGTTTTTATTGAGGGAAAATGACATATATGCCCAATTAAGTTTCTGGGGTTTACTATTTAGCCACTTAACTTATTTTGTGGCTTTATGAGGGAACGAACTTATGGGCCACCTATATATTTAGTCCCATAGACTTGTTTTAATCGGTTTCCTTTCCACATCTACACTATTTGCCACATCATTTAAGTCAACACTTCAAAGAGGACGAGAAGAAGAACACTCTTCCTTCTAAACCTAAAACCCCTCTCTCCATTCATGATCTCCTTGTCCTTTCGCCTTCCCCTTCTAAGAGATCAAAAACCATACTTGATGTCTCTAGGGAGGTTACCGACCTATATGGGTCTTGTCGGCGCTGCAACAACTGATTTTCTAATATCGGTTCACCCATAAACACTAGATGACACATGTGGTGATTGGAAGAGATTCGATAGGATAAAGATCTAGTTGTTGTTGATGAGTCCATCGTTGTTAACAACAAACCAAAGAAAAAGAGACATAGTGGTAGATCGAAGAAGGAGAAATCGATTTATTTCTGTTTCATTCCATCCCTAAGTAAGAATAAACAAATTTATCTTGTTTCACTTCTGGTTCTGATCTAGGTACTATTGATTTACTTCTCATGTTGATTGTATTGTTATTTCAGGAGGAAACGATGAGGATTATGGGTACACTTTCGATCAAATCAGATTCTTGATAAATGAACTGATAACGTGGAATGATGTTGCAAAATCAATCCTCTGGTTTGGGTTCGTTCACTCTGTTTCTTTTCTTCATATTTCACAACAGACATTAACTTTAGGTAAGTCAAACACTTTTACCCCTTTTGAATTTTACAAACTTCAACACCACTCAAAGATTTGATTTTCGTTTTCAGCATGCTTTCTTCGATATCTCATCTGGGTCTACACCTTTTGAATTTCTCAAATTCCATTATCTAAAGGTCATAAAGAAAGAGTAACCTTAAGCTTAAAGAAGATGGCATTCTAAAAGCTGATGTGCCAAATACCATGATCAAATTGTATTTAGTGGAGCCGGTAAGTGTGCAGATGGTGTATTTGTCGATGCCGACGGAGCTGGTACGGTGGCAAGTTGAATTGAAGCATCTGTTGACTTTCAAAGTAGTTAACCAAAGAAATTAAGGTCCAAGTTTGAATTTTGACTTGAATGATGTGGCAAATAGTGTAGATATGGCAAGAAACCTGTTAAAACAAGTCTAGGAGACTAAATAGACAGATTACCCACAAGTTCGTTCCCTCATAAAATCACAAAATAAGTTAAGTGGCTAAATGAGTAAACCCTATAAACTTAATAGGACATATATATCATTTACCATTTTATTTAAAAAAAAATTCATTTTATGTAGTTTTCTTTATTTTTTGTCTTCAGGAATGTAATCGTTTTTATGTATTTTTTTATCGTTTTTTAGGAATGTAATCGTTTAAAAGTGTTTTTATTTATTTGTCGATTTTTAGGAATGTAATCGTTTTTATTAAATTAATAAAGTGTTTTTTATTTAATTATATTTTATTCAATTAAAAAAAGTGTAGTATGACACCCACAAGTGTTATAAGGTAAAACAAAAAAATAACATGACATTGGAAGTGTGATAAATATGTCATGACACTTAACAACCTCGGATGCAATTTTTCCAGTCATATAGTGGTTTTTATTTTGAAAATTTTGAGCGAATTAAAAGTTCCATGGTTTTCGTAAATCTTTAAGTTCTCTTAAAGATCTCTCTCTCTCTCTATATATATATATATATATAATCAATCGCATGATTTTATTTACAAAGAAGCTCTTATTGATGTTCTACCGCATCACATGATCATACAGAAAGATGCATTTTATTTTCTATAAAGATGAACAAAAATTGAAGGGATTTTAGAAAAATATTTATAAGTAGTTTTTCTCTCCAAGATCCCTACATCATGGTCTTATTCCCAAATGATGTTATCTTAGTTAAGATAGCCGATGTTGAAATGATTACCAAAAGAGAATGAACAATTACAAGGTGGCACCGGCATACGAGCTTAAAGCCAACTGAAGGTCCAAACTTTTACAAGATTGCTTTGAATCGTCTGGTAAAGAAGAAAGCATCCTTCTTGACCTACGTGCATGCATGTATCCAAAGCTGTTCGTATCCGTAAACGATAATAAATCATCATCATACAAACCAAAACTAATGTTTGGTTCGTTAAATGCACGATCATTATAGCCATGGAAATTGATGTTAATCCCATGATTATCGATTATTTGGTCGTAGGGTTGGAGGTAACTACTTATATTGGCCTTTGTAGCTTGTAACAATAACCTTTTCTTCTTCATTCTTTCTCTTTTATGTGCGTTCTGATGACCACCCAATGCTTGCGAGGTTACGAACCCTTTGAAACAATACTGGCACTCGAATTTCTTTGTCTCTTTGGAATTCGCCATGGGGGACTTCTCTTTCTCACAAGAGATTGTGGTGGACAATGATCCTTCTTTGCTAACCATCGAGCCATTTTTAAGAGGATCAAGCTCAAACCCGAATAGTCTAATCTTTTTGTCTGTGGATATTGATGAACATGAAGAATCTGCATCCTCTCTTACCCATGTTGATGAAAGAAAATTAGACACAACTTCTCCCATCTGTATATCTTATGACTTTATGTGCTTTTTAAAATGATTTACCAAAGGGAGTACCACTCCTCCCTTTTATAGCAAATCAATTGGCTTATGAGAGTAAAATAAAAAACAGCTTTCATAATCTTTTTTGGCATCATGCATGTAGCATACATGTTTATATGTACATGCTCGTATCTGTTTAAATGTAAAGAAAGACAAAATGAAAACATAGAATAAAGGAGGGAATAGTCAAAGAGGTTTGTATAAAGCGGTATATGGTGAAGATCTCCCAGACATTATTGTAATAGATACAGCAGGAACATTTTCTCATCAAAGTGTATTAAATAGTGTTTGAGCATATCTAATGTTACAAACACATGGATTTATCGTACCATTTTTATCAGTAAAATAACCAACTATTCCGATTCTATGCTTAAAGTTAGGGACATGTTTTCCTAGTAATATTATACGAAAAAAAAAAGTCAAAAAAAGAGGTTTATATTTGTAATCACCTTGGACGAACAGCTTCATCAAATCTAGCGTATTGTTCTTTAATTAATATATATATTAACTTGATTGACAATTGCATACTGTTTGTTATCATGAAAAGACGGCAACCCTTTAAACAAGTCTTGTTGCACAAACATAAATAATACCGAGATTTTTATAATATTTAAATACAATACATCCATGAATTTTTTTTATATATTGTAATTTATTGCAATTTTAGGGTATTTGAATTTGTTAAACTTAGTTAAAAATAAACGGATTAATTAAATGGATCCCGCATAATTATAAGTTTCTAAATATCTTTCCAAATATAATTTTACATGTTTATAAATTAGTTTTTTTTTTTTTTTTTTTTTTTTTTTTTTTTTTTTTTTTTTTTTTAAATTAGATTAACATTTTAAATGTAAGCATAGAAATAGGATCCAACTACACATTTTTTTTGAAACCCCTTATTGTCTTTTTGGTATTTCTAAGCAATTATAAATTGTGAGATTCTGTTTCAAAGTAAAAAAATGATTTTGTTTTTAACAAGGTGGGGTGTCAAATCTCACAAAGAATTATTTTTTAATCTTAACTTTTACTTTTCCACAAAATATAACAAAAACACTAAACACGTTTACATTTCTTGATAATATATTAACATATTCCCTTTGTTTTTTTATTTTGATAACAAGTTAAAGCATGTATTTTTCGTTTTATTTCATACAATGCATTTTAAAAATAAAAAGTTAAAGACCTCTGTCTAAATTTTTAATCAAATAAAAAATAAGCTAATTGAAAATTTGTTCAATAAATCTTTTGTTTGATAACAAGACTTTTATTTAGTTATAAAGCCGTGTCATAACTTTTAAAACACAAATTTTACATACATTTTCAAAAACTAAAAAGAAAATAAACGTACATTTTTCAAACAATTTTCCATAAAACAGACTAAACTAGTCAGAGAGATTTATGTATCTGGCCTTTCTAAAACCAGAATGTGCTTTAACCTAGCGAATTTAAACTCACGTGCTGTTAGACTTTAAAATTATTTGTAGTATTTTTTTTATCCTATTAAATAATTAAAATTATCACCAAGAGCAGGCGTACATATTAACTGGATTACAGGGTGGGAATATCGGTCTTGGGCTCTTAGCCTTATAGAATTATTATATTTAAGAATTTATCACATTTTCTTATTTATTATTTAAAAAAAACAAATTAACAAAGTAAACTAAATATACGTTATCATTGTTTTATTTTGTATTTTTTTTAATGATTTTCTAATTGTATTTTAAATTATTCTTTATGTGTTAATATTTTATTAAATAATTAAGTAGTTGATTATGTGTTAGTGACATAGAATATTGATATTACACTGGCATATAAGAAATGAGAAAAAACTTACCCAGTTAAAAACCCAATAAAATTGCACCGATATGAAATGGTCTTTTGCTGGTCTCCAATATCCTCCCGATAAACTAAAATAATCCGTCTTCTGCAAGCATTTGTAACTTATGATGTTTACAATAAAACAATTTATCTTTGTACTTTTTATTATATTTTTCTTTTAACTCTTATGTTAACAATTAATAATAAAAACAACAGGGTTTTTTCCAGACCCAGCCAAAACTATAACGGCCCGGCCCATCTATGCTAGGAGCAATGCTGTGATGTTGACATGACCTTGACAAGACTGGTCCATGTACACCTCTAAGCCCATTTTCTACAAAATCAACACACAACATTAGTTTACTACTACACATTATAATGTTCATATTACCTTAGCCCGTTAGTTTTCTATCAATCTTTTATGTAATTGTGAGTGAATAATAATTGTTCTTGAGTAAAAAATCAAAACTTATATTAAGGATAAGAGCATTTTTTTTTGATTCGTCTTGAGCCTATCAGGATATTTAATTCTTTAGGACCAGTCCTGTCTCTGAGACAATCTGGTGCTAACAATTGGAAATCCAAACCGGTACGAGCCGGCAGATCGGTTTATGAGTTGAACCGGTTTCACCAAAATCGGTTTGTAATTGGATTGGGTTTTGTTTAGAAACTGGTTTTTTTGAGCATCTCTAGCTCGTAGAACTAAAAGGAACCGGGTTTAAATAAAGTTGAGTGGAGAATGAATTTTGTTTTTGTTTTGATTTGTTATCTCAAAACCACGTTTTTATTTTTTAAGATTCTTATACTAAGTTCTATCATGATGTTATTATGCTGTATGCTTTATGGAATTAAAACACTAAGGGTTGAATGTGAGACAGATTTTTTTTTTGTCTTTGATGCCATTAGCGTAAGATATCAAGTATAGGCTACAGTATTAAAAGGGAATAAAGGCTCAAGAATTAAATGGGCTTTATTTATTTGTTTTACCCTTTAACCCAAATGACTCCAACTGTCCGACACTCGACTGTTTTAGAGCCTAACCCAAGATCAGGTTGAGGGCCTCCTCCCCTCCTCTAATAAAACAATCATAAAACAACCATTCATTAGAAGAAAAAAAATACAGTAAATTACACCAACATTCCCTATCGTTTAGGGTAATTTACGCGTTTATTTATAAGTTTTTTTTAATCAAACAGTCCTTACAGTATGTTTTTGTCGTGCATTTAGTCTCTGCCACATATGAAAGACTATAATACCCTTCTGATTTTTTTTATAACTTTTTATATTTATTTTAATTTCTAATAATATTAAATGAAATAGGTCCACTTTAATAATAACCCTATCTTTATAAACTATCCCCTTTATCCCTTTCA